CGCACGGCACAACACGTGGGCATGGCACGGCACGGAAGGCGTACTGCACAATTCTCGCATTCCAAGAACTCAGAACCCGGTCCTTCCTGTACAAATCCGCCTCCGTGCCTCTGGCACGAAGTGGAGTGCCCCAAGGCTCATGCAGCACTTAGAGGTAGACGCGGTGCTGCTGCTGCAGCGCGAACTGTAAGTCTTTGAGAGCCCGGACCAGTCGTTTGCCAGACCTTTCCGGAGTTTTCTGGACTGGCTCTGGTGAGTTCTGAAATATGTCCTGCGCCTCCTGTGGACGCTGTACCCCCCAAAACGACCTCCCGAGCCCTCCCATGAGTCCAAGAAGGCCCCGAGTCGCCGAACGATCGCTCCAAGACGCCCAAGATGGCTTCAAGATGGTCCAAGAGGCCTCCAAGACGCCACAAGAGGCCTCCAAGTGGCCTCCCGAGAGGACCCCAAGAGGCAAAAATCGTTAGTTATCCGAAGATGTTTGACAATGTTGGCGTTCTCGCCTGTTCGGCTTTCCGACGCTACAAGACGGCCCAGGAGGTCTCCAAGACCACCCCGGGACGGCCCAAGAGGCCTCCAACAGGGACCCAAGACGGACTAAGAGCGCCCCAAGACGGCCCAAGAGGCCCAAAGGGGCCCCAAGACGGCCCAAAACGGAGCCCAAGAGAGGGAACACGAATCGAAAATCCGAGCCTTCGCACCAAGAGGCTCCAAGACGTCCCCAAGAGGCGCCCAAGAGGCCCCAAGAGGCCCCAAAACGGCCCCCAAGAAACGCCCCCAAGAGGCCCCCAAGAGACCCCCAAGAGGCCCCAAGACGGCCCCCAAGAGGCCTCAAAACTGCCTCCAAGAGGCCCCGGAGAGGCTCCCCACGAGAGCCCAACGAACATCCTGAAGGCTTTATACCCGACCCAAGCAGGGTCGAAGGCCGGGCGAACGGCGATATTGCTTAACGGTGATGCTGGTAACCAAAATTGTAGGAAATCACGAACCACACTTTCCTACATATGCAGTCTGCGAATGGATCGAGCGAACACGACACAGCGAGTTGTAGGAAAGCGCGGGCCGCGCGCAACCTGCATCGCCGTTGCCCACATCGCCCTTAGCCCGTCACGGGCAGTGGCGGGATGGGCCGAAGTAGGAAGCCACATGCGAACCCTACCCGTACCCACCACGATTTCTGAGGGGGAGGGTGGGGTTCACTTCGCTCGGGTGCTCCCGAACGAAGTGAACCCCACCCTCCCCCTCAGAAGTCGTGGGGGGTAGGGGTAGGGTTCGCATGTGGCCTCCTACAAAGACAATCAGACAGGACCCCATCCGGCATCTGCTGCTTGGGGCACAGGTCGTCTGGACGTACGAACGGGCGTGCTCTCGAGAGCCGCGCTCTCGCCGTGGCGCCGCGCACACTCGTCTTAAGAAGCTCTCGGTAGTGTTGGGTCGAGCATCTCCTCCTGCAGGCGGATTTTGGACGAATCACCAAAGATAGCCAAAACAAATTCCAAGCATGATCATACATGGTCGAAAGGTCGTCCCCTGACTAGTATTTGGCCATGTTCGGATATTCTTCCTGTAGAGGGACCGGCCCGACTCATCATTAGTGTCACGGAGGACGTGTTCGTTCTCAAGATGGGATTCCCGCATCAGACTTTCTGTCGGGGAAGCGTACGACTCTGTAACGCTCTCAATAGTTTCACGGATGACGTGCGGGGAGGCCACGCGGACGAAGAGTGGCTCAGTTTCAAAATGGGCTTCCCGCCTCACTCTACATGATGTCACGACCCGGAGTTCAAACGGATGCAGGGCGGCTCTCTTCTATGAGGCTCTGACTTGTGACTCCCAAGAATTGGATGATGTTCGATGGGACACCCTTGAAAATGTGCAATGCTCAGGCGAAGTGCGGGAACACCCTCTTCAGAACGGAGCTATCGCTGGACACCTCTTTGAACTGTATGACCCCACCTCTCTGTTGAGCAGGGCTGGGGGGTCAGGACGCAACCAACCTGTTCGGTCAAGCTGAAATCGATGAACTACATCCGCCGTCAAGCCAAAACATTGGACATAAGCGAACGGTTGGCCTGTGCACAGTTTCACTGGCTTAACCGGCGAGGCAATTGACCACCTTGACGTCCCTTTTTTGGTGGTCCTGCAGAGGAAGGCGCTCTCGGAACCTCGGCCCTACACCCTGTGAAATGGTGAAGAAATCATGGGTTAAGAAATTCATGGTCTCGCGCCGGCCAGTTTCTTAAATCTCAATAAGAAATGTCCAGGGTCTGGCCCACGACCCCAGGGAAGCATCAAGTTTAAGAAAATTCCCCAGGGTCTGGCCAGCGCCGGTGGCTTCTTAAGCCGCGTGTCCAGGACAAGGACTTTCGAGACCCTGGCTGCGAAGCCGCGTTTTCTTAAGCATCGAGCGAGATGTACTCAATGTATGACCCCACATCTCTGCATCCTTGCCGCTGGGAGGCCTGAAGGCGGGTCCCTCTCACAAAACGGGGCCTCGCCTGAAAGGCAGGCCCGTGCGGCGCTCGCCTGTCCCAGGGGGCGCTTCCTGCAGCGGAGAGAACACTATCGTAGGGACTCAAAGAGGAGGGACCTTGGGGGCGGGAGGGTGTATTGCAGCATCGCAGATACAACACAAGTTCCTTGTGGTCCTTCCTCCTCCTCCTCCTCCTCCTCCTCCTCCTCCTCCTCCTCCTCGATTCGATTCGATTCGATATGAGGCGGAAGATGTCGATGCCTAAACACAGGTGAAAAGAAAGAGAGAACGGGGAAAAGCGGTGGCGGCGGCAGCAAGGGCTGCCACCCGCGCTCACGGCGCGCGAACGACCCGAGAAGATCGCGGGCAGCGGGCTACTGCAGTTAACGTGCGCGACACAGAACGGAAAGGAGGGAGCGAAGAGGGGGAGCAGAAAGAGTCCTTCGCCCAAACAGAAACGGTTACTGACAATGTCGAGCGCCAAGATAACTTGGCGCACTCTCTTGCTACTGCTTTTTTATGTGGGCGTACACAGCGGCGACAGGGTGATCGCGGCATTGATTCACAAGAGAGCCCTTCACCTATCTAGACTACCCGATGGTCTGGGGGGTTGGCGAGAGAGGGGGAGAGTAAAGAAAGTGAATCCTCCTCCTCCTCCTCCTCCTCCTCCTCCTCCTCATGCTACTCCTACTCCTACTCCTACTCCTACTCCTACTCCTACTCCTACTCCTACTCCTACTCCTACTCCTACTAATCCTACTCCTCGTCCTCTTCCTCCTCCTCCTCCTCCTCCTCCTCCTCCTCCTCCTCCTCCTCCTGCTCCTCCTGCTTCCTCCCGCTCCCCACTCCTGCTGGCATCCCCCAAATTCGGATCTCCCAGGGAGTCCGCCCATTCCGTAGCCGCCCATGCCGTAGCCGCCCAGTCCGCTGGCTCCAGTCGGATCGGCGGGAACAAAACAGACCTGGGAGGACGCCAACCTTCCACCCGCACCGACACTGGCCGGCCCAGTCCTGGGCGCAGGACCGGTGGATGCGCCCACCGGGCCCAGTCAAGAAAGGGTACGCACCGATCCTGCCCTGAGACCTGACGTTGCCAAGAAATTGCAACACCGCGAAAAGTCACGACCTGAGCTCGAGAGCCACACCTCTCTGCGTCGTGTGTCGAGCCGCATCGAAGCGTGAGGCTCCCAGGGGGCCGAAGCCGAGCGAAAGCGCCCGCCGAGGAAACGAGCCACAGAGGGTTGGCGGCCGCCCGAGGGCCATGTACTGCACGGCCCCTGGCTGGACATACTGCTGCTGGTGGTGCTGCTTCTGCTGCTTCTGCAGCGGCTGATGCTGCGCCTGCGCGGGCGCGGGCGTGGGCTGCGTCTGCGCCTGCGCCTGGCGGGGAGGAGGCGCCGGAGGACGGCGCGGGCACGCGCGGGCGCGGGCCAGGGCGCGCGGCTTCCTCCCCGTCCTCCTTCTCCGCGCTGCGTCCTGTCTGCTCCAGCACGTGGCTCTCCTGATCCCACTCCTCCTCCTCCTCCTCCTCCTCCTCCTCCTCCTCCTCCTCCTCCTCCTCCTCCTCCTCCTCCTCCTCCTCCTCCTCCATGTCCTCCTCCTCGCAAGGTACACTGCTTGGGCAGCTGGTGGTCGGTGAGCAAGCATGGTCAGTGATGAGCGGCCTCGTCTCGCGACATCGAGGGATCGGGGCCCTCGGATTCTGCGGGGTCTGGGCTCCCAGTGTCGCACCAGAACGCTGTAACAGTAGGCACTGTCTTAGGTCTGACCCATTGGCTTGTCCTCGATTCTCGTATATGGTCCATCGGTCAGAATCGTCTGATCCTCCATCTCTTTGACCCTCACACCGTACCAGGACCGTACAGGCGCAAGCATTCGCGTCACCACAATTTGTACGACTGACTCATCTTGGAGCTGCTCTGACTTCCATTTCCAAATATTTACCGTCTGCCCCTGCGAACCAGAGGCCCCCAAGTTCGTAGACTTTTGTGGGTCAGGGGTCCTCGAATTGTGCCCAAACGCGTCAGTCAAAACACGCCCTGGAAACAATAGGACTTCTCAACCTTACACTTCGAACTCCCTGATTCGCGAATCTGAAGCTCGATCCCTGTCAAGACAAGAACTTCTTACTACACCGATTCGATCAGACTGTCGAACTGGTTGCGCAAAGGCAGGGATCCAGTTCTACCAGACCCTCGATATCTACGACGGAGTCGACGCTGCCTCAATCGTTCGAATTACGCCTGGCATCTACTTCGAAATCAAAATGCTGCTTGATTCGAGCTCGCCCAGTGTGGAAGCCCCTCCGTGACACCGTCTGGCAAAGGAATCTCGGGCATGTCTGTGATGTGTCTGCGCTGGCGTCCACCTGCGCATGTGCTCGTGCGCGACCGTGCGTGTGTGCACGCTGCACGCGCGGTACACACACCCGCTGTCATGGCATCGCGCGGGCGCGCGAGCGCGAGTGCGCGGGCGCATCATCCCACCTTCCCTTCTCACGTCGCGCAGGTACGCAGAAGCGACCAGCAGTGGCCACCGCCCTGACTTCGACACGTGCCGCTGCGCAAGTGGCACGGCAGCACGGCAGTAACACGGGGCACCCTTCACGGCACAATTGAACAGCACCTGGCCACAGGACCTGACCTCGGGGCACCGCAGGCACTGCGGGGCGAAATTGCACGGCACTGCACAACAACACCACGCCAGCGAATCGGATCTTGGGGCTCTGCACGCGGAACCACACCTTATCAGTGCACGGTGCCACACGACATCCATCTATGTGAGGTTCGTGTTTTGACGACCTCGGTGTTGGTTTCCGACACCGCGTAGATCGTTCAACCTTGAACGATCGGCGGCTTTCCGATCGCCAGATCGTACCAGATTGGCCGATTCTGGGCCACTGGTGGCGTTCAACCTTGAACGCCCGCGGCGGGGTCGCCGCCGCGGCGGCACGGCACGAGCCGACCCTACCAGATCGAACCTCGGGCACCCCCCATGTACGATCCCACACCTCACAGCTGCTGGGCGTCATCGCGGGGCACCCCTCAGCCATGGGCCGCCACATCGGCGGACTGGGCACCAACTGCACAGCAATACGTCGCAGCAGGCCACCAGCTCGGACATTGTACGGCGCCCGCCCACGTAATCGAGCCTCGCGGCGCCGCCTGGGGCATAGCACCGCACCACCTCAGAGAGCTCCACAGCAACGGGCACCGCCAACGTCTACTGCAATGCACAGCACGGGCAAGCGGTTGCCAAACGACACAGCACACCACCCTTGCGTAGCACCCCGCAATAAGGAGAGGCCGTCAACTCTGACACGGCACAGCCTGGAAACGCCTCCCCCTCCTCCTCCTCCTTCTCCTCATACTCCTCCTGGCTGGCACCTGTAGGCTTCGGACTCCACGGTCGGATGCATAGTTGCTCCGCCTCCTCATCGTCCTCATCCTCCTCCTCCTCCACCC